AATGATTGTTTGTACAGCATACTGTAAATTCATATAGAAATTCGCTAGACATGTAGATGGACCATTTTCTTCAGCTTTGCCTGTATGCATGCATGCATGCATGCATGGAGAGTGACTCGAGTGAACAGTGGTTAAACTATGAACGACACAAACGGCGAACAGAAGATATGTTTATAACGCAAAATATACCGCAAAAGGTTGTCATAGATTGTTGCAGAAATATGAAAGACCCGATATTAAAACAGAAATTGAAATATCAAAATCTTTGGATTGTGGCGTTAGCAGGGGCTGCAAAGAAAAAGACAGTAATGTGAGTGAAGACCTGATGCCGATGGCTGAGAAGAGAAATTTTACGAAGGAAGAGATGCAGCATAAACATATGGAAAGGAAGAGAGCACAGCTGGAAATGTTGGAGGGAAGTTCTTTTGATCGGTACATTTTTAACCAAGGGTGGATAGGCTGTAGCGAACTGCAATTTTCAAGTAGCCAGTAGTTTTTGACTACTTTTTTAAAACAATAGCTGTAGTTATAGCGAACTACATTTTGCCTAAGAGTTGCCGAGTAGTTGACTACTTTTCAAACAGTGAATCACTATTCGCTACTTTTTAACATTCTTAGCAACTTGATAGAATAGAATGATATTGAGACACGGTTTGCTTAAAATCAATACTCAATAGTCAGTTTGCACTCTTGAACACTCTAGTGCTTACAAAAAATGTTGCTTTGTGTTTACCGTTGCCACTTGTAAGTCAATTTGTTATAGGTTACATTTCAGCCTGAGTTAGTAAATTATCCAAATACAGTAAAACTAAACAATATAGCGTAGCGAAATAGCCGCTACATTTTTAAAGCAGTAGCTGTAGTCAGTAGCAAACTACCTTTGTTCAAAAGTAGCAGTAGTTGTAGTTGACTACATATTTTTGAAGTAGCTAGCTGTAGTTATAGCGAACTACAAAAATTTTGTAGTCAACCAACCCTGGTTTTTAACTTCTATTAATTTAACAATTTGAGTTTGCGTTCTATCATAAGAAATACATAGCTATAGCATATTAGCGCGGAACAACTGGTACATGTATAGTATACTGTACATTGTTGTAATAATTAACTTTTGTAATGTTTTGATTGTAGTGTGTGTAAAAGCAGTAAGTCGATGCATTTCTGCATCAGGTTTTATCTGTATAAAACCCAGCTTTCCAAGGTTTTATCTATATAGATAAAACCCATGAATTTATAATTATTAATTCAATTCTATTCATCAACCCCACTATTCCCTGGAGAGATATCAAATCCCTCCCCTTGCTTTAAGAATCTTAACCCAAATGAAACCAGACTGAGAACAATCGAAATTTGCACAAATTTGAACTAGCATTGATTATAAACTACCATGCAGGGCACTATACTGCATTGTTTAAATTTAGCACTTTGCTATGGAAACAAGTGAAAGCATTTGCTGCCTTGCTGACTGTGAACTTGGGCGAATGGGTCAAGACCACAAGTACAGAAACATCAAATAACACCTTTGCCATGGTTTTATTGCTGACCTCTATACTAGAAATACATGCATACAACAACCCCTCACCTATATTTTCCAAACATTGTTTCAACATGAAGTATTCATAATTATGCCAACACTGAACGCAGGCTCGCATTGCCACGTCATGTTAGTCATGGCAACATGAAATTGTTTTTTAATTTTTTGTACAAACCGGGAAAAATAGATGAAATTTGAACACTTTTAAATACAGAACTATCAATTTCTAAAATATATAAAGTAGGTATAATATTTTGGTTTTTATTCAAAACGAAAGTCTACGTAAAACGTTTTTAAATGTGAATTGAAATTAACTGCTTCTTGCCAATATTTATAAACTTCTCAACTTGAGCTTCAACTTATTACTCGCACTTTGAAATGAAACAAATTTAATTTGTACAGGACGCTAATGAAAATAATTTCCTTTCCTTTTTATCATGAACTTCTACAAAAGTTAATTTAACTAAGAAACTTTTGCAAACAATGCATAGGAAAGACTTAAACATCAAGAACAAAGTCTATATTATTAAATACAAAGTCATACAAAAACAATTGAAACAATCTTGCCCTATACTTTAGGATTCATCATACAATATCAATTCTTATCAATGTTTATGTTTAAAAATTGCAAAAAAGTTGTACAATTTGTTATGTGAAACGATTTTCCAAGCTTTTCTTACATGTATTTTTTTATGTTTTTTGCCTTCTTCACTTCTGGCAAACAGCCATATTTTGAGATCAGTGATGACCACCCACTCAACACCGTTGGTGAGCGCCAGCAATAATTGATGAACTTTAGACTTCGCTAATGCTTTCATTTCCCTGTGTGTAAATAGCTGGGGGGAATAGAACCCTCACACGGCGCTTTGCGCCATCGGCTCGGGGATAGTAGACAGGTTTAGATCGAGGACGCGAACGTCAAAGACGATGTGAAAATGGCGTGTTGCGCCCATGTATGGATATGCCATGCCATTTTGACGCCATTTTCACGTCGTCTTTGACGTCCACGTCCTCGATCTAAATCTGTCTAATAGAGAGCTTACGCACGCACAACTTTGCAGGACGACGAGATCTTGATTACGTCATAATCGATGATGACATCGTCCATCGTGCGACTTTTAAATTGATTGTTAAGCATGTTACATGGACGTCATCAGTTTGATAGTTGTGTTTATTTTGTATAATTTTCTTTGTAATATTTCTCAAAATGCCGAAATTACGAGTGGTTAGAGATTGCTTACTACTCTGTCATGATCAAAATTATATTAATGAAGAAGAATTTCTTTATCTCTATGACATAAACCAATCGAAAAATCCTGATTTTCCATATTGGATTCATGATCGCTTCGACTTAGACAAGTTAAACGACACTGAATGTGGGGGAATTTCGCTTCCTTAAAAGCGACATATCTACAAGAAATATTGGGTATTCCAGATGAAATAAGGTGTTATAACAGGCTTGTTGTTCATGGAATTGAACATACCCTATTAGATATAGTGATATGATACCTAGATTTGGAAGACCAGTACCACAGTTTTTTGGCGGGCTCCGGGGGAGGATTAAGGGCCTGCAGCTTTCATGAATACAATCACCTGATTGGTCAATACCAAGTCAGTGGAAAACCGTAGTATTTGTTGATTTCAATATTGTTGCTATCTAATCCTCGATCTAATCTTGAACATCGATCGTGGCTATTTTTTTCTTATTCAGTAGTGATGCAAAAGATGATCTCACTGGCCAGTCGTCAAGAAATAGCACAGGATAATTGCAAACAATTAACGTGCGTGGATGTAAAATTGTAAATACTGATTCTGATGATGTACTATATAAAAGTATTAAGCTCAACATCGACGGTTTGAAAACATGTGAAGGGCGTTCGTCACTGTGGTCCAGCCACTTTTCGTTTGTAGGGCTTTGCGTCACAATATTCCCATTCGGATGACCTAAAGGCACTTTCAATGATTTAAGCACAGTTAATTTAAGTGACGAATGCCCTTCACACGTTTTCAAGCAGTCGATGTTGAGCTTACTTCGGTTCTGTGCTTCGGTACATTATCAGAATCAGTATTTACATCCACGTTGTCTGCAGTACCTGTGCTATTTCTTGATGACTGGCCAGTGAGATCATCTTTTGTATTGCTGCTGAACAAGCACTTTTACGCGCAGATTTCGATTCATTTCTAGACATACTACCCACAAAACATCGCGGAGAACAAAGTGATTTGATTCAGTTTGGTTGAATGGACTAGCGCCACAGTCAGCGGGTCAGGAATTAACAGTTTATGCTTTCCTGATCTTTCTACATCTTTGGGCTGGTAATGGTGTTGAAACTTCTCGTGTAGTACTGTAGTGTATTAACAAAAGATTTTAATTTCGTTACAAGCTCATGCACTTTTAGAATTTTTCTTGAAGCCAACTTTCTCACATATAATCTGAGTGCACAATTCCGAAAGATTGTTTTCTTTGTGATGGTTTTTTGTGATGAAACATGAGCAATTTTACTAAAATTGCCAAATTGCTGTTTAATTTAAAACAACATTTACAAAATCTGCAATATTGTATTAAATTGTATTATAATATTGAGTTTAATAATTCACAATTTTGTTTGATTGACATGTTTACATGCAAGCAAATATTTTTAGAAACCAATTAATTATGTTATGACTGGGGCGTGTAGTCATGAAAGGCGGGCTTTCCTGCAGGCCCTTAATCCTCCCCCGGAGCCTGCCAAAATACTGCCCGCTGCAAATCAGGCCCCCCATAAATTTGAGGGCCTGCCACGCAGGCTATGGTGACCCTGCATACCCTCTCAGACCTCAACTTCAAGGACCATTCACGGCAGCTGTTAGACTAACAGAGGAACAACTTGCATTCAATAGGGAAATGAGTGCAGCAAGGGTCAGTGTGGAATGGGTGTTTGGGGATATTGTAAACTTCTTTAAGTTTTTAGACTTCAAAAAAAATCTAAAGATTCATTTAAGTGCAGTAGGAAAGATTTATGTTGTTTGCACATTGCTTACAAATGCTTGCACATGTCTGTATGGCTCTGTAACTTCAAACTATTTTAAGTTAGAACCTCCAACACTTATTGAATACTTTATATAAAAAGTAAACTGTATTAAAGCTAAACTAACAGTTAAAACATTTAAAGTTTGTAAGTTTCGTTCTAATGTTTTTAAATAGGAAAAACACAACATAATATATAGCATTTATAAGTGCATGCAATTTGCAAATTAATATCAACATTAAAACTTGCATGAACATACATAAGTTGCTGTTTCAGTTAACTTTTGCAAGTTTTTCAAGAAGAACTAATAAAAGTTGATTTTGTTGTTGCTGTTGCTGTTGCTGCTGTTGTTGTGCATGACTTGCCATGACTTGCCATTATTTGCTGATGGTGAAGTGCCTGCTGCTGCACTTGCTGTTGATTCATTGCTTGCTGTTGTTGATACTGTTCCATAATAGTCTTCAAAATCCATGAACTGTTGTTGCTGCTGTTTCTGCAATGTCATCTCCACTTCCCTTTTTTTTTCTACCTCTTTTTTTTAATTTCCAGTTCAGCCTTTCGTAGCTCAAATTCCTTTTCAGATTTTTTTTTGTAAATATACCAATGTTTTTCCTCCTGTGGCTTGTTTCCCTCCTTGGCTTAGGTTCACTTTCCCCACTTTCAAGTTGTCTTTTTCGACTCTCTAAATAACTTTCCATTGCCTTAACTCTGAGCTCTTCTGCTTGCTTTCGGTTATTCTCTATCTTTTGCTGTTTTTCGTAAGAATCCTTCTCAAAATGTTGTTCTGCATCATCAATCAACTCAATTATTGTATCGAGGGTTTCATCAATCTCTGACTCTTCTGGAGAAATACCACTAGCTGATTCTTCTGCTCTTGTTTTCTTTTTATGGCGTTCAACCAAAAGCTTCATTCTGTCTCGTACAGCTTTTTGGGTAGCACAGAAGCGTATTTCTTGAACTGCATTAAGCTCGTTTGCAATTCTTGTCCATGCACTTCCTCTTTCTGCTGACTTTGGTCTTATATTGGTATGGTTGTGCTACTAAAACTTCCCGGCATAACACAATGTTGTGCTCCTTTGTCCATCTCATGGGCACACTAATGATAAAAATAGGGGAAATATGTAAAAAATCCCAACCAGTCATACAAACACCAAAATTAATCATGATACTGTGTAAATGTACCAATACAAGGCCAAACACCAGATGATTTTTATCAACAGAAGATAAGGCTACTTCCAGTTTATAAATAATGGGTTAATACATACATGTGTTGTAAATGTATGTATGTGTCAAATATCTTAAAACTAGTAAGATAATATTTAAAAAGAGTTGGTAAATCAACAAACATGACAATCATGCTTCTAGATTTCTAGTTTGTATTGATTTCAAAATACTTGCAATAGGTAGGTTGCACTGTGAGATTAATACATAATACATAATAAAAAATTCGTTGATGATAGGCTCTAATCAGTCTATAAATGACTATTGGTGCTTTGCAATTACCAACTTTGACTTCGTGTGCAACCAAACTATTGAAAGGCAGCTTATATGAATCATATTAAATTAAACATATACGAAAACTAATAATTATAAAGACCAAGAAGATATATTCCCATTTTCTGTTCAAACTGCACTTGAATAGTGGGGGAAAGTACATTCAAAGCATGGAGGAAAGGGTTTAATCAGTCGCTTTTACCCTGTGTTTTGTTTTATACATATTAATATGTGTGCATGTATTAATTTGTGTTTACACGAAAGGCACAAAACTACAGGGCAAGCACTATACGGATATTCCGTTCACACACCAGTGGAAAAAGTATAGAAAATAACCACAATAGTAAATACTGTAAATGATACTTACTTCTTTCGTGTTGACTTTTCCGCCATTAAATTTTCCTTCGATATAGCTGTCGAATAAGAAATGTTTTAGCGACACCTTCGAAAATAACCTTTTGACGGTGTCGACTTGCGAAGGACGCCTTCAAGCCTTCCACGACGCATGCTCACTTCAAATATTACGTCACATCCTGTCAAAAAGTTGACGTCGTCCTTCAAAATTTGTCCTTGCGTAAGCTCTCTAATATATGTACAGGCATAAAATCAACAACTTCAGCTGATATTGACAGGAAGGTTGTGTTGCTCACTATGAACAAGTTGTCAACAATGTTGTTGTAAGTTTTGTTGACAACTTCTTCATGGTGGGCAGCACAACCTTGTTCACACTTGTCAATATCACCCGGGAACAAGTTGTTGATTTTCTCATTTTTTATGTGTGTACTGTTTTGCTTTTTATTATAGATTCAGAAACCATCACATTTTATAGATTATCTTGACTCTTGAGTCTGACTGTATTTTTTTATATTCAATATACCATATAGGATGTAGATGTAGTTGGTAAGGACTGTCCAATTTGTCCAAAGTATCATATGCATTAAACGACGTGTCTCTTTCAAACTTTATGCTTTCAGAATCAGTTAAGTTTATATACTCTATTATATTGCTATTTGATGAAGCCATATTTTAGTATTTATTTTGAGGAAGGTTTGAAAACTGTAAATTTTACCCAGAGAAAATTTGAATTATGGCGATTGTGCTTGTAAAATATATTTAGAATTTTGAATTTAATTAATACTTGCAACTATTATAAACTGACACAACTCTATCTTCTTCATAGCATCATAAAAACCTTCAAGTGACACCATTCCTGTAAGTTCATGTTTCCACCTTTAACCATCATCTATAAATTCTCCTAATATTAAAAATTAAAGAGATAAAGCATGAAATACAATCTAATGTAATTTGCATCTTATATTGTCATATATATTAGACTAGCATAACAGGTGGGAAATTTGTCTGAGCATGCGCGAGTAAAATGAGTCACGCAATTGTGTGGAATACAGTAATACACGCAACGCGTGTTTACAAAAAAGCACAATCGTGTAAATATTGCAAAATGTTTGTACAAAATAAATTACTGTTTTATGTTGAAAGAGTGGACATGATCTAAATTAATCATACAGAACTTTTTAGTGACGTTCTATTTCAGTACCCTGCCATTGTTTCTGGTGGGCTGTCCATGTGCATTCGATCTGAAACAGTTGCTACTTTGCTGTCGAAGAATTTCGAATGTTTACATGAAAATAGAGGCAAGTCATGCATTTTACAACCTCTTAAACTGTATGAGCCCCTATTTTTACGCTTGTACCTAAGATATCAAATAAAAGTACATGAAACAGAGAACATTTGTAGAAAGTTTTATCGTGAGGCCACGGCCAGTTTTTAAAATATCTTTATTTCTGTTCCGATCATCACCAAAATTACACAAAAGCCGGGCTTGAATATACAACAAATTTTGAATCGCATCAAGCACAAAAATACTTAACGTGTAACCAAAATATGCTCATGAAATCGAAATTAATAGCTAAATTTTCAAACTAGACCCTTCTCGAAGCGGTTTTCATGAAGGAAGTTCACATTTCGGCCTTTGATTCTTGGCAAAAATTTGACCACAACACGTGCAAAGCAACTGGGTCTCAAAGACTGAACTAAAACATTATGAGCCCCTATTTTCCTGACGATATGTTTGATACCTACAAACGCCGAAAACTTTTTTCTTTTCATTTAGCTATATTTGAAATTGAGGCCACGGGCTATTTTTGAGAAAATACAGTTCAAAGTCAAGCTATTTTTACATATTTTCAAAATTTGTCAAATTTCGCGAGCTTGTATGTTAGTTACATTAAGAAACATAGGATGGAAAATTTGAGGCATATAAAGTTAATTTCAACTTACATTTCATTTTCAAATCACGTCTTTCTTCGTTTATTACGGTTTTAAACAAGCCATAGATCGATGTATACGGTATTTACTCCCATGTTCACGTCGCCATATTAACTTCTTCCAATCACTCGATTACAAAACAATCATCCCAAAACAAAGAATTCATGATAGACTTTTAAAAGAATAACCAATAATTTGTAAATCGTTGAATGGAAAGCAAAAAATCGTCAGCTAAAACAGCTTCTTGCTAACTTTCTGCTTTGTTTTGAATGTAAATGCAATGAGCTTTGTTTCTGCCCGCAATTTTTTGGTCAGCGACGACAAATTTCCCACCTGTTGACTAGCATTGTTATTGTTCTAACAACAGGATTTTATCAATGGTTATAATTATTAGACCTATACAGGGTGTCCCAAAAAAAGTGACACTACAGAAATTATCTCATTGTTCTTAAGCCGCTCTTAAACGCGCGTGATTACACGCCTGGGAATTTAATGAACTTGTATTTACATTTAAGTATTTTAAAACGTTTTCGCTTTGTCCAAATATTTTAATGCCCGAGTCAAGCAAAACGATTACACTAATAAACGGTTTGCTTTTTTATTTTAAATTCCAGAAGCAGAAGTTCATGCACCTGTGGGATCAACTTAGTGCTAGGGCATTCAAATTATAACAATAGGATAATTTCTATAGTGTCACAAATTGTCACATGTATATTGTCACAAATTTGTGTACTTGGATCTTCATCTCATCCATATTAAGTCAATATTCTTCCAGTCTAAGATTTCGCCGCTTTGCCTCGTTTTGACACCAATAAATCACTTCTTCATTCCAACCTTCGTCTTGACTAACAGAGTTTTTGTAGTATCTGCAAATAAATTAATTATCCCAAATTATATTTTGAAATTTTACGAAGCCGCAATAATTCAAGACACTGTGGCTTGGCTACAATTTCTACTAACCTGATAAGACGATTGCTAGGAAGAACCAGGCACTCACGCATTGCATCCAATGCCTTATTAGGGTTTTTGCAATATACATTCAAGACGAACCTTATCATCCTAGTAAACGACAAATGTTATGGTTTTACTTTTAATGGAACTAATAATACAAGCAACTTGCAAATTTAAGCATATTCAAGCACCTAGAGTTCCATCTGACCATTTGAGGATTTCATAGAAAGTTGCTTCATCTGTTGTTCCCAGAGCAATTTAAAGTTAAAGTTAGAAGGAACATCAGTAGGATCCGTGATTTTAACGATTTCCATTAGATCCAAATGATCTTCGTCCACAAGATCAATCTTTTCTGTTTCTATTACACAACATTCTCTCTTAATTTCATTATTCTTTAGATGTTTTTTTTTTTGCATTGAGATCTTGTCTTCAACACCCATTTGATGCAAGAACTGTAAATTGCACTTTTTGTGTGGAGAACAGTTGGTTGACGTTACTTTTCACTCAATGCATCTGTTTCGACGAAGTTTTGCGGTGTACAAACAATGTTTACACGATTTGCAGCAAAATCGGAATAGCAAACATGACGTAGAAACTAATCCTCTATGTGTTTCCAAATTTTCCAATGGTATCTGTTTAAAGTTTTTGGCCAGAGGTGGGTATTTATTTTTTAATTGATATTTGAGGTTGGGCAATCAAATTTTTGATTTTTTAAATGTTGGGTCAGCAAAACTTTTGTCACGAAAAACATTTCTCTTCGGTCCCCCCCCCCCCTTACCATAAATAATGACCTGTCGTTTATTGCAAGTAACAGCTAGCGTTCTTGAACTCTCTAGAACACAGAACATTTCTTTATTCCCAATTTTAAAGTCAACTGTAAGGTTACTGCTTTAATTTGAAAAATAATTCTGATTTCTAATCATTTACATTCATAAATAAATTTCTATATCAAGACTACCATTGGATCAGTTCATCAACTATTGAGTGATTAATAAGTTAAAACTTATAAAACAGCTGGGAACACCTGGGTATAGTCAGTTACAATTATTGGTACAAAATAATTTATACGCTCCAGAAGTGCAAAAGAGGAATTTTAATTGTCACATGACATGCGTGCGCATATCTTGTACAGTATTTCCAATTCCTCAGTGTTTTTGGCAGTTGTCTTTTTTAGTGTCAA